ATAATAGAGACCAAGTTCAGAAAGCTGAAAAAATGTTCTACCCCGGATGCGTTTCTAGCCACGCTTCGAGCTGAGAAGCTTTCGGTGCTTGATCGCCAGTGATGATTAGGCCTGTGGCAACTTCTCTCACTTTCACCGGCAAATCGCTGCCCTGCGACGCTTCGTCGTCGACCGATCCAAGATTCGAGTCTTCCCCGGATGCCATTGACTTGCGCACATCTTCATCGCGCTGTCGCTGTTCCAGCATCTTCTTCTAAATACCCGCCGGGAAATAGCGGGACGCATTTAGACTTCGAAACAGATTTATATACGGGTATATTTTTTTCGTACTCGTTTGGCTTCTTTCTTCTCTAGCTTCCGGGCTCGCTTGACGCTCAGCTGATGTTGACGCACCAAGCCTACGAAAAAAATTCATGTGCAAAATTCAGCTGCAACCACGCTTACCGGTCAAGTTAGCCACATATTCATCGGTCTGCTGCAGCAAGTAAACCAGACGTTTGTCCTTCTTTTGATCCAGCAACTTCCGGTAGCCTTCTTCATCTTCCTGCATCAACTTCTGCATTCGTTCGCGTTCCCGTCTTTCTTCCTCCTTCTTCTTTTCCCTTTCCGTGTTCATGTGGTATGCCAGCACTGCCTTCTTCAGCTTGCTCAGCTTCATTTGGTTGTTGCGATGGTATTCCTTGAACTCCTTGACATGAAGCAGGATGGCGTTCAAGAATTCCTAAGAAAATTTACACGAATGATTTCCCAACTATTTATTCAAGACCAAACTCGGCAACCTGGTGTCGCTGTTTGCGCTTCCTCTCTTGTTCTAACTTCTGCTGCTTCTCTAACTTTTCCGTCACCCGGGCTTCGCGCAGCGATTGCTTTTTCGTGCGACGATAGGCGCGGGGGTTCAGTGCAGTCTCTAACGTGGTATCACGTTTCATGGTAGAAAGAATTTCGTTCCGGATCTACAGCAATAATAAACTGCATTTAAAACTGTTATACAAAAATAATACGTTTTCAAAACGCACGAGCATCGTTTCAAAAACTTCCTAACTTGTTGAGTTTGTATAAACCGCATTTGGTCATCTGGCACACTAATTTTGGTCTAAAGTCAACTTGTCGAAAATTAGTGGCCAGCATCGCTAAAGGTGCAAGACGCGTATTGAGTCCAGCGTATCACCTCTAACCCACACTTTGGTTCTATTCTAAATGGAAACAGTAACCGCAGAATCAAGATTCCATTGCGTCTACAAAATAACGGAAATGTTAATGCAAAATCGTAGGGTTCGATCTTGCACAGAAGCACACAAGTTCCTATTACACGTAAACGCTGGAGAATCTCTACACTGCAGTCATTAACGCTGTCTAGAACTGAGCCGAGGTGTGGTATAGAGGTTTTGGTGCCTGAAGATCGACTGTCTTCAATCCCAACGTTCTAAATCTCACCCAGTTGAGACTTGTCGAGTCTGATCTGGCATATGGCAAACAGTGGACATAAACGTTCAACCATTAAGGTGGATAAATCAAACGAAGCATTCGAAATGGCATACTTCTCAACTGCAACTATTAATCCTAAAACAACACGAGACGTTCTCTTTTAGAGAGACACGCAATTTTGAAATAAGATGAGAGTGAATGGAGACTGTGTGAAAAAAAACAGTACTACGAGATTTTAAGCTAGATAAAAGAGAAAAGAAACAAAAAACTAGGTTGGAAGGGACTAAAATGTGCAGACCACTAGGGCACATATCAGTCAATGTCAGATGCGACTAGCCTTCTAAGCAGAGGATGACACTGAATCATACT